CGATATTAGTTCAGGAAACTGGATTGTCTAAGAAGAAGGCTTAATGAGTTTCATATGGCATGAAATGATGTGTGGAATTAGGATATATGAGGCATTGAGATGATGCTAGCTCGTCAAATATCATTTGTGTAAGCTTTTCCTTTCAGGGCATGCTTATGTTATTCATTTTTTGGTGTTTCAATTCTAGACATGGAATTAATGATGTGAAATATATGGTTTTCTTAGCTATTTTTGTCGTTGCCATAGATTATAGTTTTAAGGAGGAGGGGCTAAATTTTCAATTTTTTATGATGGCTCACAAGTTGAATCTTGTGCTCATCTTGAAATTCAACAAAGAAGCAGGCTAATTTTTTATAGCCGAATATGTGCTCAATCACCCAACTGCATTTTACAAGATAGCCTTTAATACAAATAAATCAATGAAGTTAGAAAGGAATCTTAAGATGCTAGCTTTTGTTGAATATGGTGAAAGAGATCCAGCGATGACCACTTTGGTCAGTGACTACCTTAAAGATTTTTTCAAACTCATCAAAGACAAGTTATTATTCCCATTGCATATTGGGATATGTAAAGTTGGTGGTTTACTTTCCCTTGGTATTTAATAGAGCTACCAAATGAATTGCTAGAACACATATTTGATTTATTAAACATAGATGGAATTGAGTCAATAAGCTAGGCGGATCCCAAATTATCGACATTGGTTCATGAAACTGGATTGTATAGGAACAAGGCTTGATGAGTTTCGTGTGGCATGGAATGATGAATGGAATTGGGATATGTGAGGCATTGGGATGAGGCCAGTTCGCCACGTATCATTTGAGTAAAATTTTTTCTTCAGGGCATGCTTAGGTTATTCATTTTTTTATGTTTCAATTCTAGACATGGAATTTATAAAGTGAAACATATGGTTGTCTTGGTTGTTTTGATCGTCCCCTTGGATTTCAGATTTAAGGAGGAGGAGCTCTATTTTCAGCTGTTTGCGTTGGATGACAAGTTAAATCTTGGGCTCATCTTAAAATTCAAAATAGAAGCAGGCCAATTTGTTGTTGTAGCATATGTGCTCAATCACCCACCTACATTTTACAAGATAGTCCTCAATGCAAATGAATTAATGAAGTTAGAAATGAATTTTAAGATGCTAGCTTTTGTTGAATGTGGTGAAGGGGATCCAGAGATGGGCACATTGGTTAGTGACACCTTTGAAGACTTTTTCAAACTTGTTAGAAACAAGTTGTTATTCTCATTGCATATTAGGATATGCAAAATTGGTGATTTACTTTCCCTTGGTGTTTGACAGAGCTACTAGATAAATTGTTAAAATAAATATTTGATTTACTAAATATAGATGGAATTGACTTAATAAGCTAGGTGGATCCCAAATTATCGACGTTGGTTCAGGAAACTGGATTGTCTAAAAAGAAGGCTTGATAAGTTTCATGCTGCATGAAATGATGAATGTAATTGGGATATATGAGGTATTGGGATGATCTCAGCCCGTCAAGTATCATTTGAGTAAGCTTTTATTTTCAGAGCATGCTTATGTTATTCATTTTTTTGGTGTTTCAATTTTAGATATAAAACTAATAAAGTTACATATGATTGTCTTGGCTATTTTGATTGTTGCCCTGGATTATGGTTTTAAGCTAGCAGAGCCATATTTTCATTTGTTCACATTGGATGATAAGTTGAATCTTAAGGTCATCTTGAAATTCAAACAAAAAGCAGACCAATTTGTTGTGAGTGAATATGTGGTGAATCACCTAGCTGCATTTTACTAGATAGTCCCCAATGCAAATGAATCAATGAAGTTAGAAAAGGACTCTTAAGATAATAGCTTTTGTTGAATGTGATAAAGGGGATCTAATAATAGCCACTTTAGTCGATGGCTATCTTAAAAAAAATTTCAAACTCATCAAAGACAAGATGTTATTCCCATTACATATTGTGATATGCAAAGTTGGTGTTTTACTTTTCCTTAGTGTTTGACAAAGCTATCAAATGAATCGGTATAACAAATATTTAATTTACTAAACATAGATGTAATTGACTCAATAAGCCAAGCAAATTCCAAAATATCAACGTTGGTTCAGGAAACTGGATTGTATAAGAAGAAGGTTATATAAGTTTTATGCGGCATTGAATGATGAATGGATTGAGATATTTATGGCATTGGAATGAAGCCAGTTCACCATGTATCATTTAAGTAAGCTTTTCTTTTCATGTCATGCTTAAGTTTTTTAGTTTTTTGTATTTTAATTCTAGACATGAAATGAAATTAATGAAGTGAGATAAACTAAAATGGTAACAAGTATATATCAACAAATAGTACTGTTAGGCAGTATTTTGGTCAACCTAGGCTAAAAATTGTAAAGAAAACCAATAATGGTGAATGAACATGAAGTTCAGAAATTACAAGTTAATTCCTCTTGCATTTTATCCTTCCATCACTTCTCCATCTGTGCTTGACTAAGAAGTCTTGGCAAATATGCACCGTGCTTATGTACACTTGTAAAGTGAAGAAGCTGATGCGTTTAGCAACAGTGAAGGAATTAAATAGTGAACTTGAAGACCACGCTTCCTTTTCAAGAGCCTGTAAAACTTAACATATTTGTTTAACCTTACACGTGAACACAATGAGCATACAAATTACTTCAATATCAGTGATCCAGAAATTGAATATATATACAAAGGTAGGAAGCGTTTCGCACTAGGCAACTAGGATAGTTGGATGCCTCTCTTTTACTCTTCTTAACCCTTGTGTGCAATAACATCCTCGTGCGTTCCAAGAGGACTCTTGAACATTAGATTTGGAAACAGAAACCTGTGATGATGCAAACCTCGTAATGTCATGGTCACGCAACCCACACGCAAAGACACTAATTCCCGGAAAGCCAAGTAAATCAGGTTTGATAGGAGTGTGACACAAAGATAACTTGTACCTAGGCACCAACACTATTGGAAACGGAAAACCCCCACCCAATAAATATTGATTCGCGAATGAGAAGTATAAGATTGACACCACGAAGACAGTTGTTCTTCGATAAGTTGTTTTTTCAGTTCTTTAGAGAACCATGAAAGGGAGATTATCTCACAAACACACACACACACACATAAAGTGCGGCAAACAAGAAGTTTTATTAATCTGAATTGTCTTCCTTACATGTTTGGTTATGCCTCTATTTATAGTGATTCTAGACTTAAAAAAAACCCTAATAGACCCCTCTTGGGTGAATATATATGTAGCCCACTTACAATTGACCCAAATAAGTAATAATAACCCAAAGACTAAGAAGAAAATAATAAAAATAATAAAAATCTAAAAATTACCATCCTAAATATGCTAGAATCAAATTTGTCACCATTAAGAAGTCCCAAATAGACTAGGAAATCTGATTTGAAGGTAGAATGTATTCTAAAGTCTTCTTTCCTTTTGTAGCTGGGATGAATAAGGAATCCTTGTAAGAAAAGGATTCTGAAATAATTATGAATCATTGCCACACTTAAAAACTATGTTGTAGCCCATTAAACATCCTTATAAAATTAGTATATTTCCAAAATAAGCTGCCACGTCCTTTTGGGAAAAGAATCTTAGCCAAATAGGAAGTCCACAAGTCAAAAAGAAGTAAATAACAAAATTCATACAGCCGTTGTTGACCCGTATTGAGATGCCTTCTCAAACTCTGATTGACCTGAAATTTTAACCCAAGGTAAGAAAAGATGTCAAGAGACTCCACGTAATATTTCAGCTCGATCCAATAGTCGGATTAAGAATTATAACTATTATTGTAAAATTAAATAACTGCACATTTTATATCAAAATTTAAATTTGACCTTGTTTGTTTGAAGTGCATCATGTGAGACTCAAACTCAATTTGCAGCAAACAGGTTATTAAAGCTTCCTCCAATAAAGGGGATCGTAGAGCAGAGCCGGTGTGGCCGGCTACCAGCACCAGCAGCATTTATTATTGAGCAATTTAATATTGAGAGCAGACAATTTTGGACCAATGAATAGATCTAATAATATCGCTTGATTTGTAGCAATAATTGATTAAAAATTGGTCAATTGAAAGCTGAAATTGAAATGTAACTAGAAAACAAATAATGCATAAGAAAAGGGTTTTTATTTACCTCATAGAGATTGATTATGAACCACAGCCACAACTTGTGAATAATTGAGGTTTTCATCTCATTGTATAGTCTTATCTATTGTGAATAATTGAGTTAATTATATTTTTGGTGACCCAGATTTTCAATTTCTTCTATTTGAGTGTGCAAACTTTTCAATTATGTTAAATACATGCTTGTATGTTTATGAACATTACAAGAAAATTTTAAGTGCTCAAACCATCCCTTTTAAAAGTTTTTGACCTATAGAAATAATTTATTTTCATCTTTGATCCTTTTAATTTGAGAATTTTATGTTTTGATTCAAAACTTTATTTTATTCATATTTTAGTTTTTAAATTTATAAAATTAAAAAAAAAATCATTGAAAAATAAAGGAGGGGAGATAAAATAATTGGTGTGGGTGTGGCATGTTTCACGAGCAATGAAGGTTAAAATTGATATTAATGTGTTTCTTTTAATAAAAAAAAGTATTATTAAGATTTTTAAAAAAATTTATATTGCTAAAAAAATTAATCAAGACTAAAATAAAAGTTGAGAAAATATAAATATGATGAGAAAACAGATTTTCTCATGGTCTCCATAAAGGAACTATGCAATATGTTTCACAAATGACGTAATATTTCTTAAAATAGTCAAAACAATAATGAAAAAAAAAATGACAAAAAATAATAATAAGATTGCAGAGTCTCTTTACTTCCTTTCGAATTCAAGTACTAATTATGATCATTTATTTGCCCCTTAAATTTAATTATTATAAATTTGTTAAAGCGGGACGGCTTCACAAACACACACTAAACACTTCGAGGGGAAAAAATTATATGTTGTCGCCCAGCAGCAAAAGAATAGAGTTGGAGAACAGTACAGCACAATGTTCTATTTTTCTTGTTCCATGGATATGTTTGGCATCGCCTTCTTCTTCATGCTCCTCACTTCTATTATTCTCATGTACAGCTGAATTTTGGCTCTCCGGTCTTCGTATTTTTCTGGTGGTGGGATCATATCCTGCTGGAATCTCTGGCAAATTAAACGAGTGGCCCTGGACAAAAACCGCAGCTCCGAGCAAACACATTCCATTCTACCAACATCTACGAGGGAAAGCAACCCCATGATCTTTAACTTCAACTCTCTTGGGAGGCGGTCGAAGCATGGTGGAAGAGCCATACCGGTCTTCTCACAAAGATCTATTAACAGCGGCAAAGCTAGTCCATCCTTCAGTACTTTCTCTAGCTGTCGAACTTCATTCTTATCATTGTCATTCATCAAAGAGTTCCTTTCACAATTTGCTCGCAACAAATTTATTGTGCGTCCAAACCCCTTTCCATTCAAACACACCCTGTGTATATCCGAGCCACCTTTGGTCAAAGAACCACATACATTGACGATATCTTCTGAACACTGTACCTTCACATAAATCGATTCAGCAACGACGTTTTCAGGAAGCAAGAGCCCTGGAAGAGTGTACCACATCGTGAATGCGTTTGAAGACAGGTCTGTTGGAGGACGAAACTGATCAACTTTCATCCCAGATTTCAAATCGAACCCAATAAAACCAAATTCCAATAAGATGGCATGAGTAGCAATAGCCGCATTATGATTAGAGAAACTACAATCCTCATCCTTCTCAGTAGTTGTTTCACTGCTAGAGGGTTCTGCTACACTCTCGAACCCAGCAGATACAGAAGACTCGTGGCGGCTTGTCGTTTGTTGATTTGGGAAGTTGAGGGGTAACTCCTGATGAGAAGTTTCAGGTTCTTCTCGACCAATCACCTGTTCTTGGACGGACAAAACTTGAGCCAGGGTTCCTTGTTCTTTAGGCATGTCTTTGAAATTCAGGATAAGACTTTCTGTAGGTTTTGGCAGACAAATTAATCTGGAGAACAACGAAAAAAAACGAAGAAAGGAACTCCAAAATCTGCAGGAAGCTTGAAGTTCCTATGGTGATATATAGGGATAAGAGAAGCTGCACGCACACGCACACACACATATATATATATATATATGTATGTATGTATTGAGAGAGAGACAGTCCCAATCAATGCTGAGTAGTGATAGTGATACAGAGAAGGGGCACTAGAGTCCTAATCAACTGCTGAATTTGCCAACTCAGCACGTTAGCGTATCCAGAACAATTTACCGTAGAAATTAATAGAGAATTTGACTGGCAACTTCCCATGCCAATCCACTCAAGTATCTAATTATTTATCGGCCGATGATTATTAATTCCTTAGTCCCATATTAATTGATATTTTTTTATGATTTTAATTTATGTATTTTTTAAGACAAATTAAAGTAGAATTATTTTATATTCTCATCTATTCTCCCTATTATTTTAAAAATCTATTCAAAATAAAATTTAACTATATAAACATAATTGAAAATAAAAGTGAGATAATTTTTTTAAAACAGATTTTTTAATTAATATATAAACATAATAGAATCCTAATCAATGCTAAGTAGTGATAGTGATATGGAGAAGAAATCCTAATGAACTGCTGAATTTGCCAACTCAGTACAGATTTTACTGGTGAGAGTTAAGCAACATTCTTTGAGTTGATGCTCGCGTGGAGGTCAAACTAGATAGGTTGCGTGTAATTCACCGCCAAGACAGATCGAATAAAAAGGACTCATTTTTGTTTTCAAATGTTAGGATAATGATCCGGATCAAGGCGATTCACCCATCAAATAAACACTCTAGATCAAGAAACCAGCTTGGTTAAATTACTTTATTATTTTGAAATAACTTTTTTATTTCATTATAGGATAATAAAAATAAATATAAACAACAAAATCATGAAATATGAGTCATTTTTAAAGGGTATTTATTTACATGCCAGGTTTGTTTTAGCTTTTAAAATAAACCGTACAAACAACATGTTTAATAATATTAAAACTTAATTTATTATTTATATAGGATCTATATAGTTTATGGTGAAACCACATGTTTGCTCCCCTTCTTCTTGTGTCTTGATGGTGGAGAGTAAAACTCTTCATTATTTCTCTTCTTTTGTCATAAAAAATAAATTAATTTATTCTTCATGTAAATAATAGAAATATTCTCCAAACTTATATAAATATTAAATTAATTTTAATTAAAAATATTTTTTATAAAATAATATTTTTTAAAATTACTACATGAAAATTATCACAACACGAAACACGCTAACTGGACAGCTACTTGCTAGCTATGTCGTAGTAATGTTTCTCCGTATATGGGTACCAGAAACGAAGAAAAAGAGGACCCTTTTGTCTTTCAGAGTAAAATGGGTACTAGAAACGAAGAAAAAGATAACCAGTGTGCACATCAATCAGGCAGTTACCTCTGGGAAATTGTGATTCTCAACTTCATTAGCTCCAATAGAGGTGTGAAAGGCACGACTTCTCTCACCTTTATTTTCAAAGGTTACTTCACTTGGTTGCAGACGAACCAGGTACCAGAACAGGATCTCCTTCATAAGCAACCACACTTCTTGGGTGCCAGACTTTGCTTAGTTTATGGCTCTTGGATTATCACAATTTCTGACAACATCCTCTCTGACCACTGTACTCTTGTTTGACTTTTTTCTCTGTTCTTCCTCGTGGTGACTGGTTCTCTTTTCAACAGCGCTCCATTACTGCCATTCACAGCAGAAGCCCCCTCTAGCAGATGTCATTGGCTACAATAGCTACAGGCTTCCATTTGACAGGAGAAATGTTACCAGCAACTATTGGATTCTCTTAAGTCACTGGCGATGGTTTCTTTTCTGGGTTAGAACTCACATTCATGGTAACTTCGTTGCTCATATCGAAAACCTTTTAATGAGTCAATTTCTCAGTAACAGTCAACATTTCTGGGTTGACAGTTGGTCCTTTCCATCAATTATTAGTTGATAGTTCTTCCTTTATTACCTTCTGCAATGCAGCATCTTCCTAAACTTTGATTGTTTTATCAGTTTCCCAAGTTTGGAGAATTTGACCAGCACCTGGTTGCCGGAGAATTTTCCCGCCAACACATTTTAGTATGAACTTGAACTGTAAGGATTCCAAAGCAGGGGCAAGTCCACAAACAGCAGTAAACCATTCCAAAGAAGCAAAATGCAAGTACAAATGTTCAGAAAACCACACCTCGCATTTCATGACCACCATCGATCGTGACCGATGATTCCCCTCATAGGTTCCTCCAAGTGTGCTTGATTTTTATTTTTATTTTTGTTGTTTTTCATAGTTTGTTTGTTATGAGATTAATTTCGGGTAATTATTAGTTTTGAAAACTAAATGCAGGTTGATTTTTGTTTTATTTATTTTTTTTGTTTAAATCGATTTATTTTAATTTTATCTTTTAAGTTTTTTTACGAGATTATTTTAATTTTATATTTGAAATTTATAAATTTTTTTAATTTAACAAGATTTTTTATTATTATTTAAATATTTTTATCTTTTTATATTAAATTATTTGATAATATAAATAAACTTAGATATAATTATTACTAATTAAACCAATAACTTGATCTCAAAATTTTTTACCCTAACATTGTTTTTTCGACAAATTAATGACATGAATGACTGTACATAATATTACTTAAAATGATCAAAATAATAATTAAAATTAAGAAAAAAATAAGATTTTATAGTCTTTTTACTTCCTTTCAAATTCAAATATTAATTATGATCATTTGTTGGCATTTAAATTTAATTATTATAAATTAGTTAATTATTATAAAATTTTAATTTAATTTAAAAATGGATTCTATAAAACATAGATAATGTCATTATCTAAGTGGCAGCAGGTTAATCTAATTTAATTTGGATTAATCCAAAATATTGTTGATTCAATTTTTTTTTAAAATAAAAAATAAGTAATTTTTAAAGTTAAACCAAGCTTTGGTTGGGATAGAGAAAATATAATACACTCGCCATGCCAGCAGGTTTGCTTCAAGCCTATGTTCACTCTGTATACTTTTCTGTCCCCGTTTTGAGTAATGGCTGGGAAGTAGATTTAAATTGACAATATAGCATATTAAATCTTTGCCACATATGCATCATTTCTTATTTCCTCAAGCTCAGTTATTTGTAATTTTCGAAGTTGACTAGCATAATCCAGATTTGAATTGAAAGCTTTAATAGCCCAATAAGCTTTATGTTCAAGTTCCATAGGCAAGTGACAAGGTTTTCCATAGACTAGTCTATAAGGTGACATACCTAATGATGTTTTATAAGCAGTTCCATAGACCAGTCTTTCCTATTAAGGTTCACTGTTTTCTCCAAAATATGTTTGATCTCCCTATTAGCAAGCTCTACTTGTCCACTTGTTTGAGGGTGATAAGGGGTGACAACTTTGTGTGTGATTCCATATTTCTTCATTAAAGACTCAAATGGCTTGTTGCAGAAATGTGTTCCACCATCACTTATTATGGCTCGAGGGACTCCAAATCGACTCAAAATATTTTCTTTCAAAAACTTTATCACTGTTTTGTGATCATTGTTTCGACTTGGAATTGCCTCTATCCATTTTGAAACATAATCTACTGTGACTAATATGTATAAGAAACCAAATGATGGAGGGAATGGACCTATAAAATCTATACCCCAAGAATCAAAGATCTCAATGACAATAATAGGATTTAAAGGCATCATGTGATGTTTTGAAATAGATCCCAACTTTTGACAATTTTCACAAGACTTGCAGAATGCATGTGAGTCTTTGAACATGGTGGGCCAATAAAATCCACTTTGTAAGATTTTTGCAGTTGTCTTTCTTGATGAGAAATGGCCCCCACATGCCTCAGAATGACAAAATTTAATGACACTACTTACCTCATTGTCCGGAATGCATCTTCGAAATATTTGATCAGGAAAATATTTGAATAAATAAGGATCATCCCAATAAAAGTTCTTCACTTCGTTCAAGAACTTTCTTTTATCTTGGGTACTCCAATGAGCTGACAATTGTCCTGAAACAAGAAAATTGACAATATTAGCAAACCAAGGCATTGTAGAGACAGAAAGTAAAGATTCATCGGGAAAGTAGTCATCGATTGATGTGATGTCAGTTTTCGAATCTATTGTCAATCTTGACAAGTGATCTGCGACAACATTTTCACTGCCTTTCTTATCTTTGATTGTGATATCAAATTCTTGAAGTAATAAAATCCACCGCACCAATCTAGCCTTAGAATCTTTCTTAGAAAGAAGATATTTCAATGCTGCATGATCACTAAAAACAACAACAGGTGAGCCAACAAGATAAAATCTGAATTTTTCACATGCAAATACTACTGCAAGTAATTCTTTTTCAGTGGTGGTATAATTCATTTGAGCACTATTTAAAGTTTTACTTGCATAGTAAATTACATAAGGTTTCTTATCTTTTCTTGGTCCCAAAACAGCACCTACGGTATAATCACTAGCATCACACATTATTTCAAAAGGTAATGACCAATTGGGAGGTTGAATGATAGGAGCACAAGTAAGCAAGTTTTTAAGTTTAACAAAGGCTTCTTCACAATGTTCAGTCCATTCAAAAATAGTATCCTTTGTTAGAAGGTTACTTAAAGGCTTAGATATTACACTAAAATCTTTGATGAACCTTCTATACAAACCAGAATGTCCCAGGAATGATCTAACATCTTCAAGAGATTTTGGTATTGGCAAGTTTGGGAGTATGGGTTGTGGTTGACCCTTTGAAAACTGTTTAAAACACGGGCTTGTTCATGGAGACATTCCTTAAAAGAAGGCAAGGTTGGACAATTGTTGGTTGAGTGTTCATTTGTTTCACAGATTTGACACACAATGTTTTCAACAGATTTTAATTGACAACTCCTTTTCAATTCTAGTGCCTCGAC